GGAAGGAAGGAAGGAAGGAAGGAAGGAAGGAAGGAAGGAAGGAAGGAAGGTTGGTTGGTTTACAGTTTTGAAATAATACTTTAGTGTGAAAACTTTTTATTAGTTTTACACTTAGCAGGCTAGATCCAGAGAAAATATACTTAATTGGATTGACTACCCTCAGAATATGTCTTGGTCTTTTTTTAAAAAATATTTTAAATGGAATCCCTTTCTGATTCTAGCACCTTAGTCCTTCTAATTCAGTAGAATCCCCTGATTCTGAAGGAAGTGTTTTCAGAGCTGCTTAGGAGAAAGCAAAGAAGTTGTCTTAAAATCGCCAGATTAGAAATGGCTTCTTTCTGGGTTTAAGCTAGATGGGTATTTTGGGACAACTATTTCAATTATGAAACTCTTAGATTTTCACAAACACTTATGGAAGCCCCTGTAATAATATCCATTCAACCAATATATTGCCTTAGGGAAGTACTTTCTTTCAGTCTCATACTGCATTTATACAGTGATTGTAAATTTTACTGATTTGCTAAGAGAAATATTAAGAAAGCGCAGTCTGAATTCTCTAGAAAATACTATATATAAAATCAAACAACTCGTAAAATAGTAAATTAAACATCTCAAATATATACCAAAATAAGAGATTAGCTGACATAGCTAAATATAAAGATGCATAAAGCAATACAAACTTCAACCATGTATTAAGGAATCCTTCAATACGTATCACTTACTAACCTTTACTAATAAGAAATTGTACAGTGCATAGATGACCGGCTCTTGCAGCCTTCATTAATGGTGTCCTTCCACCTTCAGATTCATGTTCCTATTTAAAAGAAAAAAAATCAAAAAGTATAACTAGATTAACAAACAATATTGCATCCCACTATTAGAACAATTCAGGTAAAATGTAACAATTTGAGTATGAGTTTAAAAACATTTACTGTTTTCCAGTACAATCAACTTTATCCCTGTGCAACAATAACCACTATCAACTCTGCTACAGAAAGTCTCATTCCAGACAAGAGTTAATCCAGTACAATGGTGTAGGTACAGAATTAGTTAATGAGAAATAATCTTTTCTTGTGAAAGTTTCTATTTTTTTACTAGATAGCAGGGAAGACAAAGGAAGCTATCTGCTCTATCCAGGAGACACCTTTTAAATTGCACACTAGTCCTAAGGTTAGGTTTGTAGAGAAGCATACCTTAAGGGAAGGAAGAGAAGCAGCGCCTGTAAAAGTAAGCCTTACTTCACCCTTTTATGCCTCAAACCCAGTAAGACCCTAACATAATTTGGGACCTCTTGAAGTAAGTGCTACATTCAGATTTTCTCAGCTGTCTTCTCTGTGTTTCATTTTCTTTCAAGTGTTTTCAAAGAAACAGACCCAGCAAAAACTTACTTCCAAGCATGCAGAAGTAGGAGAAAAGATAGCATTAGGAAGCAAAAAGGGAAGCCTTCCAGTTCTTCAGCTAACATTAAAAAAAAAAAAAAACTCTTGCCATCTGAGCCACTTGATGGTACCAAATAGAGAGAAGATTGCTATTTTACTTGACTGCATATACAGAACCTTAATTATTGTTGAATCTATCCCTGCAAGGAAAGTAACAACCTCAAGGAAAGGGGGATTTATCTATACATAGATAAGAGCTGGAACAGAACAGTGCTTTAATCAATAAAAGATGTGTTTTTTAAATTTTTTAGGCAAGGCATATGAGAAATGAATGCCTGATGGCTCTTTCTGGCAAATTCAGAATGATATCTGACATAATTAAAGAATAAGAATAATAAAAAACTATATATTGCACAAGTCCAAAGCAATACGATTTTGAAAAATGATACAATGTGATGAAATACTTGGTGAAATATTGTGGGATAAATTAAGTTACTGCAAGATATAGGTTGTTAATCTATGCTTATATTGCATTTGCTCTTCTAGATAACAATATAAGTTACACTGCATCTATTCTATGTTTCATTTGCAAAACAAATATGAGCAACAGTGTGGAATTAAATTAACTGAAAATATTTTGAAGACATGTTAAAATCTTACTAAATCTGCACCAGCTTGAAGTAGAACATCTGCAACATCAGTGTGTCCATTTTCACAGGCATAGGTCAAAGCAGTGTCTCCTGTTGCAGTTGTAGCATGGACATTAGCACCTGATGAAAATCACTGAATTAGATATCAGAATGTATTTAGGAACTTTAAATCCAGAAAATGCTTGCAAATCAGTTTTCATCTAGAGTGTACTAATATGATTCAGGTACACATAAGAGGAAATGCCACTTTAAAAAATGAACACCACTTGTCAGAAATCAAAGACATAATTTTAGGTTAACATTAATAGCAGGCTGCATATTAAATGTTAACTACTGGATATTCTTGTAATGTATTTCAATGTATTTCTCAATCCCAGTAGGTATTATTGTAGAATTAAAAATACCACAAAAACTTTGGGAAGATTAAGCAAATAGTTATTCTAAAAAGTAAATATGTAAGTAGAAATAATTTCCAGAAGTTCCACTACTATGATGATCTTACGATGATCATCTCTACGATGATCTACTAACATAAGTAGTCCTCAACTTATAACAATTGGGATCGGAATTTCTATTGCTAAGCAATACAATCATAAAGGGTGACCGCATTGCTTAGCGACAGCAATCCCTGCAGTCCTAGTTGCTGTTGTTAATTGAATTGTTAGGTGAGGCAACTTCCTGCCAGGTTCCCACAAGCAAAGTCAGTGGGGAAGCTGGCAGGAAGTTGCAAGTCCCAGGCTGACAGGCAGGTAAATGGCTGCTGCTGGGTGGGGGAGGGAGGGTGTGTGCAGGGATGCGGGGGAAGTGCTAGAGGCTGTGTGAGGTGCATGAGAGGTGCCGTGTGGGTCAGGGATGTGTGTGAGAGGCACCACACAGGTCTGGGAAAGGGCATGGAAGTGTGCGAGTGGCCGGTGAGAACAGAGAGGAGCTAGGGAGGGGGCATGGGTTGGAGAGACTTACCACAGTGACTTGCGACCTTCCCTGCCAGCTTCCCCATTGACTTTCTGGGGAAGCCAGCAGGGAAGGTTACAAATGGCAATCCCTTGATCGCAGGGTGCTTGGCAACCAGTCAAAAGTTTGAATGGGTTGCCAAGGGCACAGATCATGTCACCATGGGGGTGCTGGGACAGCCATAACTCTGAGGACCAGTCATAGCCACCATTCATTCAGCACCATTTTAAATTCAAATGGTCACAAACGAATGGTCCTAAGTCGAGGACTACCTGCGTTCATTTGTTTTTATGTGGGTAGTACTGTACTTACGACAGTAATTGGAACCAGAATTTCCATTGCTAAGCGATGCGGTCATAAAGTGTGATGTCACATGATGGCATCCCTTAGCAATGGCAATCTTGGCATTCCCCATTGCTAACTGAATTCCACTGGTTGTTAGTCAAGGAACCATCCCAATCCAAGCCATTCTGGGATTGGTCCTTCTCAGCCCCAAGCCTTGGTAAGATAAGGGACTGCCTCCTCTTCAACTCCCCGGATGCATCTCCCTCATCTCTGCCCTTTTGGCTGCCCTGCACCCTGCCTCGTGGGGTGGCAAGCAGCCCCAGAATTGTGTGGCTCAGGGGCTTCTTGTTGCACCACAGCTCTGGGGCTGCAAGAAGCCCTTCAGCCATACAGCGAAGCCGCCCCGGAAGCCTCAGCTGCCCGAGCAGTGTGGTGCAAAACCACAGCACCCCAGGATACGCCAGCAGTGCTCCACCACCCCAGCTCCCCTTCTTCTTGTTTCCACTGCTGACAAGGCATGTCCACCCTAGCCCTTTGTGAGGCAGCTACTGGCCACGTGAGGCCATCTTCCCCAGGACTCACGAGGAAACCACCGTGCACGAAGAAGAAAGCCTCATGCAGCCAGCAGCTGCCTTGTGAAGGGCCAGGGCAGGCATGCTTGGTCAGCAGCAGGAGCAAGAAAATGGCAAAGGTCAGCTAGGGTAGCATGGGCTGTGGAGTACAGGGGGCCAAAAGGGCATAGATGGGGGGAGAGAGGTGGGTGGGGGAGGTGAAGGGTCCCTGCGGTTGTAAGTGTGGGCAGGCTGCCAAATGCCCAAATTCTGATCACATGACTGTGAGGGCGCTGCAATGGCTGTAACTTCAGGGACCTCTGATAAGCCCCTTTGTTCAGCCCCACCGTAACGTCGAATGGTCGCTGAACTAATGGTCCTAAGTCAAGGAGTACCTGTACTGGAAAGCCAGCAATGTCAAAGGAAAGTTATTCAATGTTAGTTTACTTAAGCACCCTTGTAACATTTTGTTCCAATACACCCACTGTATGCTATTTTTCTTGGAAGAGTATTTTTCTTCTGAAGTATCAGTTGGAGGAAAAAGTTTTGTGTAGTTTTATCAGTTTGCATAAATCTATTTATGTGGTTGCTAAGAGTCGAAAACAACTTGATGGCACATAATCAATCAGTTTGCATACAATGATATATAGGTCCTATTCCAATTCCAGTAACATCCTAGGAATGCAAGAAGCTAATGAGCATCCCTTTTGCAGCCCAAAAATCCTTCCCGCAGAGTAGGAAGTAAAAAATTCAGACCTTTCATTTGGCATTTTTAAAATAAGATTAAAGGAAAAAAAAACACCTTAAAATGATAGTAATTTATATAATCACTTAAATTTCTCCACTCCCCACAAATGGATCCTCATCCCAGTCTTTCGCAGTTTTACTGTGCAAATCCTGAAGCAACTTTCAAACCAAAACTGTTGTTATATACTGTAGTTCTACTACCAGTATTGTCACTGATTGATTTAATCAAGCACAAATTCTTATTTCCATAGTAGGACAGCTATTATACAACCTTATTTTGGCTAAGTGCTAGTAATAGTGCTAACCACAAAACTGAATCAGGCCATCAAGTCATTCTTCCTTAACACTCTTAATTGTACCTGCAAACATACCTGCTGCTAGTAAGTATTTCACCAGCTCTAAGTGGCCCTCTTGTGCTGCTTCCATCAAAGGTGTAGAACAACCAAGTTCTATGTCAGCTCCTGCCTTAATAAGAAAATCAGCTACTTCTGAAAATCCTCCACAGCATGCTAAAGTTAGAGCTGTTTCCTGTGTCTCTTCTGTCTGTGCATTTATGTTAGCACCTATGAAACAAATTTTCTAATATTAAAGAATTTATAAAATCACTTGCATCCTATTTCTTCTTTACTTCTTTAGCAGTGGCTATAACTCTTAGGCTGTGTATTTTGTGCATCTGTGTGTTATCATAAAAGTATCAAACCCCTTACACATACCATTTAAAACATGTTTTAAACAAGGAAATAAAACAGAGAAGCTTTTAATCTTAAAGCAGGGGTCAGCAACCTTCTTCTACACACTGGCCAGAGGCTGCCATCTCCTCCTCTTCCATTTTCCAGGCAGGAGGAGGGAAAGGGGCATGCAGAGACTATGAGGGAGGAAACTGGGTGGGTGTGGGTTGCTGTCTCTTGCTTAGGCTCATCACCTCAGATGAGATGCACGCTAAGAGTGACCCTGCCACTATTTCCTCTTCCTTCTCCACCTCACAGCTCATTCTCATCAGTCATAGCTAAGGGAATTGTTACTCTGTCCATACAGAGGCGCTTGGTGAGCCCATAGCCAAAATGGCCATCCTTCTTTTTTAGGACCACCCTGGGCCAGGTGGATATAATATTTCTTTTTGGGGCTAAAGGCCAGATAATTTCATGTGGCAGCCACATCCGACCCACAGGCCATAGGTTGCCAACCCCTATCTTAAAGGGTTATCATCAACCTAAGTGCCAGTTGCCATACCATCCTGCAAAAGGAACATACTCTATACATTCAGTTATCAAAGCAAAGAAGCCTCATAGAGACCCTCCTCTTTTGCTAATCCATAATTCCTTCAAACAGAGCAGTGCAGTACTGATGAGAAATATACCAATCCATTCAGTGTAAGAAGAGGCACAATGGGCAAGAATGAACAAAAGATGGTAAGTAAAAAGTACTGTCAGGAGGAGTTGGAATGGTAACAAATAAGAAGCAAAGCAGAATGGAACAACAGACATTTTGAAGGCTCCTTCTTATTTAACACAAGAGGAGCAAACAACAATGGATTAATTGCCCAGCCACCAAGAAAATAAGAACATGTGCTCTAGATTAACAAGACTGAAGAAAGCCTGGGGTAGTTTATTAACAGCAAGCACTCTAAGTTGCATAATATTCACTGTTTTCTTATTTTGAAGACAACAAAAACAAAAAATGTGAATATGCATTCAACATTGCAGAAAGATCTTATGTCTAACTTTATAACATTTGGAGGTTATCTTGGGATTCACTGAAATACACAATTTAATCAGAGGTGCCAACGTTTTTGCATGCACTTCTATTTTCATCAGCTGGATAAGCTCCAGTGTTTTTCCACTACTTCTTCCTTCTGTATTTCCTGTTTCTAGCCCACACTTATATAGAAACTGTTGCCAATCATATGTTTTTGCCTTCAAGTCTTACCATCCCTTAACTCTGATTGTGCAAAGTTGATAGGAGCTTTAATTCAAACATCTGAATGATACTGAGATAGTGATATTAGACTTCAAACTACAAATAAAGAGTATTTATAAGTTAATATTATTGGCTCAAGTTTGAACACTTTAGACTGCTACAGTCAAGCATTAAATCATAGTGTAATCTTGCCATATAAGTCTATCAGGCTCACTGGTTAAGCTTAACTGTGATAAAACAAACCAATCTCAAATAACTGTTCATACAATTGGCTTATTCAGTAATTGCAATCATACTACCTATTATTGGGTTCAGACACTACATTAAGCTGATAGACAGATATAAATAAAAATAAAATGGAATTGGGAACTTCTAAAGTTTATCATGAAGTAGTGTCAAAGAAGAAAGAAAGGGGAGTTAAATCATTTTCCAAGTGTTAAATGATTGTTATATCCAAATGCAGCAAGTATTTTCCATATAATAAGTATTAGGACCATAAATATTTTGCTAGCAATGTTACTTCTTAAAAAACTGAAAATGAGAGCCAGAAAAAGTATTAAGCTGTACCTGAGGTCAACTTCTCTTACCTTGTGCTAGTAATAGAGCCACCATCTCCTCATGACCTTCCCGTGCAGCTTCCATCAATGGAGTATACCCTTCATCATTAACTTCCTCAAGATTCGCTCCCCTTTCTATCAACAGAGCTGCTAATTCCACATGACCACCACAAGCAGCAAGTGTTAGCGGAGATTCAAATGAATCAGCAGGCATGTTCACCTGAGCACCACTGTCGAGCAACAGACGAGCTACTTCTACATGCCCATCCTATTAAAAAAAATAAGAATAACCTTTAAAGGAGATGGCACAAATATCCTTTCAAGGAACTGTTCTATATGACCTGAATGAAGAAAGAAGACTATACTCAATCATAATTGCAAACAAAAATTGTGAACCATTTCTCCAGCAAAACAATGTAATTTTACATGGGTATTTAATGCATATTTAAGAATAAAGTTACTCAAGAGAGAATCTAGACATTAAAGGTAACAAACCTTTTGTGTGTGTTTTTTTTATCCTGCCTTTTTTATTTTTATAAATAACTCAAGGTGGCAGACATACCTAATACTCCTTCCTCCTCCTATTTTTCCCCCAACAACAACCCTGTGAGGTGAGTGGGGCTGAGAGAGAGTGACAGGCCCAAAACCACTCAGCCAGCTTTCATGCCTAAGGTGGGACTAGAACTCAGAGTCTTCTGGTTTCTAGCCTGGTGCCTTAACCACTAGACCAAACTGGCTCTTTTTTATTTTTATTTATATATACATATATATTTCCTTCCTTCCTTCCTTCCTTCCTTCCTTCCTTCCTTCCTTCCTTCCTTCCTTCCTTCCTTCCTTCCTTCCTT